TAAATATTTTATGATTTCGTCCTTGTTGATAGTATGGCAAAAGAGAGGCCCTATTTACACCTGGTTTTAACATGTGCTCTGTATGTGGATACGATAATGACGTCTGATCCATAGATCTCTGCATTTACATTCAAACTAATTCAATTTGCAAATTAGTGAGTGAGGCTGGCCGACTTGTCAACAAACATGCCACAGGACTTGCTGGCTAACGCTACTGCCTGTAGAGTACTTGCAGAGACCCCTTCACTGCTCAACCTCATTATTTTATCACCTTTTAACCTGATTATATTACCAGCCTGATCTCCAAGGACGTCAAGTACAGATGCCTGGGCAGTGGCCCCCCAGCGTCTTGATACAGACGCCCTTTAGTGGTTGTATGAGACGCACCAGGCTTTCAACTAACTCCAAAGTAAACCCATCGGCGTTATTATCAGGCGCTCCGAGCAACTGTGTAAGAAAGTCCACTAAGGGTTGGCTGATGTGTCAAACAAACATGACTTTTACTCAGGGTGCCTGCGTTTGTGTCCCATGTGAAACCAAAAGGTTAGTTATTTATTTTGACGATGTTCTGTCACGTGATGCTACGTCTTTGAGTCACATGAGTTTATGTCCATAGCTTAAGTTACGCAAAAAGCACACACTCAAGCCATGATGTTTTTTCAAATCCTAACCACTTTTTGTTGCCTAATCCTGATGGCCAACGCTTCACGTTTACTGAGGTAATAAATCAAGAGAGAAGTAGGGTAATTTTCTCATAGACTTCCATACAACCAGACTTTTTTTGCAACCGGAGGAGTCACCCCCTGCTGGTCAGTAGAGAGAATGCAAGTTTTAATACACTTCTGCATCGGCTTCACTCCGCAGAACTGGAGGTTGCTCAATCCAGTGAGGTGAGGTGCAGTGGAGTACAGAGAGGTAAAAATAAAGTGCAATTGAGCGCTGTGAAGTAAAGTGTGATGCAGTAAAGAGACGTACAATGTAGTGCATTGCAATGAGGTGCAATAAAGTAAAGTGAAAAAAAGAGTAAATATGCAGTGTTGGTATTAGTTTCGTGTGATGCAGAGAAATTAAGTGAAGGTAAGCACATTGCAATGAGGTGAAGTAAAATAAAATATAAAGTGAAATAAAGTGCAGGGATTTCAGTGAAGTTTAAAATCCAGTGTGCAATGCAGTGCAGTAAAGCACACTGAGGTAAAGTGTTGTGAAATGAAGTAAAGTGAGAAGTGAAGGGCAGTGAGGAACTCTCCTCAGTCTCCATGTTGAGTGTCATAGCATATATAAATTTATATTATTTAATTTTTTTGTTACAATTTTTGAGCAGCTTAATTAACTTTCTGCTTCTCTTCACCATACTAGGTGGAGGCAGAACTCTCAATGGTAGATATTTCAAACCCAGACAACAATGAAACTATCTGCATTGCTGGATTACATACATGACAGAAGTGATAGTGGTCCATATGGTCCACATCAGCTGGTGACTCTTTAGGGCTAAGAGGGATGAGGAAGCATCATTACAGGGTCAGCTGCTCTCTGAAGAAAAAATAAATCCTGATGGCCTGTTTTATCAATCCGAAGCTGATACGCCAATATCTTCATCCCCGATCTCTCCTCATCTCCTTCCTCGCTGCTTTCAGTATAATTTTACTTCTCGTCTATCTGATACACTCATCTCCCACACTGATTCCCAAACCCTTTCTTTCTTTCTTTCTTTCTTTCTTTTGTTTCTCTTTTCTTTGGTCTAGTTTTTGTTCTCTGTTCTTCCATCTTCTCTTTAAAAAGTTCCTGCTTTTATATAATATGAATAAGTTATTGTTTAGTTGTGTGTAACTGAATTAGTTATAGTTGTAGGCGCTTAGCCTATACCGTTTCCTCTGGACCCATGTCTCTGACAGCAGCACTGCATTATAACAATGATGCTAAATCTGTCTGGCATTAAACTCGTTGGCTGTTTGTATGTGCAACAAAGTGAGGTACGCACTCAAAAACCTACTTGTGTGGATCTGGATCAGGGACATAGCTGGAGTTATGACCAGTCAAAATGCCCACTGTAAGACAGTCTCCAGCAAAGAAAACTATGATATTCACACTTTGTTCAACAACTCAATCACCACAAATCAACACATTTTTCCTTCACACATCTACTGCCAGTAAAGTCCTGTTACTGTAACACTTGTAGCTGAGATATTACATCATTTCATGACTTTAACTCTGCGTTTTCTGCATCAATTGGAAACACTGGCGAAAAACTGCAAAACTAACTGTGAAAAAAAGGGACTGCTACTGTGTGTGTGTGTGTGTGTTTGTGTGTGTGGTTGTGGTAGCAAGAGCAGCATTAGGATCTTAATCTGTATGTCTGTTTGACAGCCTTTAGATACCTTTGTGTGCGTGCGTGCATGTGTGCATGTGTGTGTGTGTTAAGTCCTATCACGCCTTAAGCTTGTGTAGAAAGGTCTCTGTTGATATATGAGCAGCCATGGAAGCCCGTCTCTCTGATGTCGTCATGTGTCCATCTTGCTGTCCATTTTACATTTGGTGTAAAATGCTCGGCAATGATTGAGCTTACCACGTTGAATCCATCACTTATATCTGTAATCCCACAATGCTGCATGGACAAAGTGTGGAGCATAAAATGGAATTGCTGGAATAGGGAGAATTCAATATCACAGTGATCTGAACTGAGCTGATAAACAACAATCCCTCAGGCCCTCAATAATTAGAATAATCAAAAGTATATATAATAAATATTTGTCTGCTGATATATGTAAGGGGTAATGTATATTGAGCTGGTCATTATTGCAAAATGAACCCCAACTTAGTGAGCAGGATATGTTTGCAGCGTTACAAATGCCTGGTCTGTACTGTTTTACAAACAAATCCTTAAAGGTTTACAAAGCATTTGGTAATAATAACCAAATACATATATAACATATATACGATGTGCATGTGCAACAATGAACTGATAAAAATAGCATGAATGACAGCATTGCTATCATTAAACACTATTCATTATCTTGTCATTTGTAAGAGTGAAATAACTTTACACTGAAGTTTGACCATTTATTCAAAGATAGTTATTGTACAAATATACCCTACAGTACACGTGTCAAACTCAATTGCCCGCCACGTAATTTTATGTGGCCCGCGAACCCACCAGCAAAAAAAATAAATAAAATAAAATGATTTTTTTCTTTTTTTTTTTTTAAATTTTTGTAAAAGAAATTAAAAGTTAGACTTGAAAATAAAAGTATCCCCATGGTCGAAATTATGAGAGAGAACGTTGAAATTATGAGACAGCATGTTGTCTGTACCGACATTAAAACTATCACAACAGGTGGACAGGAGAGGGAACAGACCATAAAGAGGTTTTCCAACAAGTGATTGAGTTGAAAAAGATCGACAAATAATCCCAAAATGTCCACGAAGAGAAGAATCGATGCAGAGGGAAGAAAATGTAATAAAAGATGGGAAAGAGAATACATGTTTGTGCTTCAAGGAGAAAAACGGGTCTGTCTTCTGTGTTATGATGGGTGTAGGTGATGAAGGAATACAATTCACGTCGACATTTTGACACCAAACACGGAGCTAAATTTAGCCTCCAAGAAAAACATAAAATTGTCCAAGAATTAAAAGGCAGACTGCAATCACAGCAGAATATATTTACAGAAGCTACAGCCCAGTGCTGCTAAAGGTATGTGAGCAGGTGAGCTCCGACCAGATACAGACTTTTACAAATGTCAGTTTGTGAAGAAACACCATCGCAGACCGAGTTCAGGAACTAGCAGCAATCTAACAACACAGCTAGCTCAGAGACGAGCAGGTACTCGTCTTCTTCATTAGCTGTTGATGAAAGCACAGACAACACGGACACAGAGCATCTATCCATGTTTATAAGACCTGACTCAGTGAGGAGCTCTTGGATGTAGCTGCCATGCACGGGACGACAGCAGGGAGGGACATTAGTGATGCAGAGAGGTGACAAAAATAGCTTTGAACAACGTTAATGTAATAACTTGTGTTTGATGATATTTGTCTTTGTTATTTTCTTTAATAGTTTGATCTGTCACGGGACATAATGAGGACTCAAATGCAGACAGTCAGAGTAGTGAACAAAAAGGGTTTTAATAACTCACGAAACAAAAACAGGTAATCCAAGGACGAGACAAGGGGGGAAATCCGGCAGGACAAAAACAGGGCAGACAGACTGGGAAGCCGGGACCGGGAACAGGAAGAGCAAACCAAGGGGGGCGGGTAGGAAACAAAGCAATGATCTGGCAGTGAGTGAGTGAAAGACAGGGGTTTAAATAGTGACTAGAACAGGTGAGGAGAGTTGTGCTGATGAGGGAGAGTGTGACTGGCAGGTGCACTGAATGAACTGATTAGGGACAGGTGAAGGAAGTGAGGAGCTACAGAAAACCACACAAAACACCCAAGGCAAAGCCTGATTGTGACATGATCTTTGATAGAGTAATGTGGGTTTCTTAACCCTAAATTAAAATGATTTAAGTTATAATAACAGAAATGTGTTTAAATATCATTTTACATTTATATAACTGCATGTACAATATTTTAACACTTGAATAAACAATAATTAAATGCAGAGACAGTTATTTACCAATATGTTAGGAGTAGTTACAGTTATACAGTCTTACACTTACAACCGGCCCTTTGAGGGAAACCATGATGCTGATGTGGCCCAGGGTGAAAATGAGTTTGACACCCCTGCCCTACAGGGCTGTAGTTTATATTATACTTCTAAGCATTTTCATAACACAAAATAACATTTTAAAGTCACATATTGTAAAAAAAAAAAAAACATCTAATGTTGAACATATGGGTATACATATTGAACAGGAAACAACATATAGCCCCCCCCACCCCTGCTGCGTCCCTCTGCCTCCATCAGGACGCAGAGCTCCGCCTCGGATGCTGCCGTTCATCTGATTACCGCGATACAACAGCTGCGTCAACTTAAAGCGACACGCTCCGCTTTCATTAATTAGACTACTGGAGAGAGGAGGAGGAGGAGGAGGGGGAGGAGAGGGAGAGTCAGGGAGAGAGAGGCGCCGAGGATGCAGATGAGGAAAGGGAGCAGCATCCGCCGGGCGCCACCATCTTCTCCTCCCTGCAGGAAGCCGCGTGTCACCGCGTCACTTCTCAGCCTGGAGGATATGACACAGGCTGTGATCTGAGCCTGCAGAAAAAGAGAAACCTCTAAGACCCCCCTCCTCCTCCTCCTTCATCCTCTGCTCTCCATTCTGCGATGCGCGGACTCGCCAGTGCGTCACACTCCGTTCTCCCTGCGTGCGTCGTTTTCTTCCGCTGACGCGTCGCAAACTCCTCGCCTCATTATTCTTAGGTCATGAGATCGGCTGCAAAAACACGCGGCCACCCGCTCTCCGCTCCTGGCTCCAGCCGTGGACTCCGTAGCCTCCGTGGCCTCCGTTGAAACGCGTCGATAAATCCGCGGTTCGCGCGTCCATGTTCGCCTGTGCGGCCTTTTGCATTTCTGCGCCCTCTGTTCGCCGCCCATGCGTCGCCGCTGCCGCGCCACCGCATCTCCTCCTTCTCCTCCTCTTCCTCCTCCCCGCATGGACTCTGAAATCCACGTGAAGCGCGCGTCGTCGTCGTCGTCTCCGCGTCCACGCCCCTCGCTCTGCCGCTGATGCGGTGCGCCTGGGTGCTCGCCGTCTCCTCGTCCTGGCCGCCCGGTGATCCTCCTCTGGCCCGGGGAGTCCGGTGTCCGCAGAGAGGCAGGATGGTGCGGATCGTCAGCGCGCTGGGGCTCGTCATGTTCAGCGTGGCGCTGCTCATCCTGTCGCTCATCAGCTACGTGTCCATCAAGAAGGACTTTCTGCTCAGCACCCCCAGATACGGACCGAACGGAGGACCCAGGATGTCCATGTTCCACGCGGGGTTTCGGTGAGTTCCGGAGGTGGGGGGGTCGGCTGTAGAGCTGAGTGTTTGGAATGTATTTTTAGTGCTTTTAGGTGTGTACATGCTGACATGGTAGAAAGAAACAGCTCAATGTGACCTAGAGTGCATGCATCCTAATGTGCCATTTCATTGATTGTCTTAAATCCTCATAAATGATGTTCCTTACTGTTGTTGTTTTTACATATACTTTCCCAGATGAACGCTCCTCTCTCAGTTTGTGCTGGAAGAGTGGAGCAATGTAACCATTAAACACGTAAACTTTGCCTCCTGAATAGGTGCAGCAGTGATCCGCCTCAGATGGAGGCCTCTGTGCTGTGTGAGGCCCGGCAGCTCTCAGACTCTGCTGCTGTGCTTTGCCTATCGTTTGGTTAATTCGGACCAACACCATGAAGTATTAAAATGCTCACTCTCATCATTTACACACTATAGGGCCAAGCACCCGTATCGACATAAGTGTGCTTTTGTTCCGCGGCTGTTTTTAATGGTTTGGGAGCCACTGTTCCAGTAGTATTCTATGGTAATGCTGCAGCATACAATGATGATGTATTAGACAAAATAATGTGCTTCCAACTTTGTGCAACCCTACAGCCAGACAGAACACTGAAATTAGATCATTTTTGCAAAACTTTTACGTCCAATGATAATGTTTTAAAAACAGTTTCTTATATTTAACGACAGTCTTTCCCAAACACTGGGTCTGGGCCCTCAGGTGGGTGGCAGGAGTTTTTATTACGGCCGCCAAATAAATGTCTTTCATCGTCTTTTTCTATTTAACGTTTATATCTGCAGTTAACCTTTGAGCAGCACAAGGAAGCCTGAATGTTCGTATTGTTCCGATAATTATAGCATTGGATCTAATATGAAAGGTCATGGCTGCAGCTCAACCTGACAATCTACAAAAAGTTTCCAAATCCTCAAAAAACTATCACAGCTAAACAATTGGTTAAGCGACTGGCTTTCACTTATTAGCCTGTTCTTATGATCAAACTCCGTATGGCATCACTAACGTTACCTACAGTGAGGATGGAGTGGAGAGCAGGGCCGTCCTTCAATCAGAGGATCGGCGGTTCGATCCTCGGCTCCGCCGGTTGCATGTCGATGTGTCCTTGAGCAAGACACTTAACCCCAAAATTGCTTCCGTAGCTGTGCCTACGGTGTATGAATGTGATAGAATCTGAATTGTAAGTCGCTTTGGATAAAAGCGTCTGCTAAATGACTGTAATGTAATGTCATGTACAAACAGTAGAAAACTGAGCCACACTTTGGATCTTTTTGTTCTAAATTTCGTGACTATTTTACGAAGTGCCGTGCGACTGGGTTGGTGTCTCATGCTGTGAGGCGGTGTATGTGTCAGAGTAAAGAAGAACTCCACCCCTCGTGCAAAGACAGACACAGAGACAGAGAGAGGTTTGCAAGGCTGCTTTTTTCAGCGAAGATCTCACTCCATAACATCTAAAGTACCGATAGCGGAGCCATTAACGCCGGACCTTATCGATACTCTGGGTTTTTACCACAGTATAATCGGTTCCCCTTTAGAACAGAGTTTCGGGGTCCATCCCTAGTGCTAAATAACATGACCAAGTTTCAATGACCACAAACGGGTGATGAGATGATGGGCCCCTGGTTATACAGACGCCTAAACCCTTAGCCTAGTTGAGCTAGACAACTAATTAAATATAACATCGTAAATATATATCTGAATTCATGACTTCTTCATGATTAAAATGTCATCCGATATGGAGGAGATAATAATAACAACTAATAACCTCAAATCATCAGCAGCTTCCTCCACAAGACTTTATTTTAAAGAGAAGATGAAGCAGCTGATGCTTTGCTTACGGTTTGCACTTCCGGTTATTAAAAAGATTGAAATATGTCTCCGCAGGATCAGTTCAGGTTAATATTTTCTGATATTTTGTCATAAATATAGAGTATAATCAGACACCCTATCTGTCCATAGCTGACTGTATATAAGTAGTGGACGTAGTCATCTTCACGTCACCCATTGGTTTGTGGACTGACATTTCGGAGCCTGCTGGTCGGTAGAGAGAATTCAAGTTTTAAGACACTTCCGCATTGGCTTCACTCTGTATCACGCCTGTAACTGTCATGTCAATGGTGGATGACACTGATTGGCTGATTTGTTTTTTAAATGAGGAGACAGCTTTGCCCTGATTAACTGGTCTACAGTACATGTAGTACATGTCAGTGTGTTTTCTGTGAGTGTGTATCAGCCTGAAAGAAAATAGGGCATCTGTCACTTAATCCTACAGCTGTGAACTAGATCAGCTCGTTCACTCACAACTCCTCCGTCTATTTGAGTCCATTCGCTGCCATGTTTACAATTATTTTATGCCTTCTATGAAGTAATGTTTTCGAAAGGATTTAATGAATACAAATGTATATCAATAAATTTGTTTAAACTTCTTCGATACTGAAAAACTAAACTTTTTACAGTTGCTCAAGTTAATTGAGCCTTAAATTGAGCGTTAGAAGTGGGCCTTTAGTACCTCCTCAAAAAAAACACATCACTAACAAAAATAGCCTACTGGGTCTCAAGACAGTGGCGCCGGCAGGATTCTATTGCTACTGCACAAGAACTGCCCGGCCGCTTATAGGCTACCTTTATACATCCATGGTTGGAACCTAGATATTAAAGAGAACTGAATACAGTATCAGAGGCAGCGCCCCGTTGGTTCCTATGAAAGATGCTCATTGGTGCATGAAGCCAAAATAATAAGTTAGACTTCTGAGTATAAAATTCAGGTAAAAATACTCATAAAGCAAGCTCACTAGTGTTTCCTTTAATCCCGCCTCCCAGCCCTCGGTCCAGCATTGTTCTGGAACTCTTGAATGGGAGGAAGGAAAATAACTCTGGATTCAGTTATTTGTGCATTTTACAACTTTTAGGACCTAATGATTTAAATAAAAGCTATTCAAGTCTTTGTTATGGGAAGTTAATTTACCTCAACAATAATTATCTTTTATTTACAGACGTCTCTTTCCTAATATAGGTCTATGTGGAAAAGACATTTTGGGCCACATGGCATCATGTGACAGACCCGGAAGTTGAAATTCCACTGTTTGGCCTCTACTTCAAAGCCTGGTGCTCTTCCTGGGGACTTGGTTCCCATGCCTGCACATACGCAGTATATTTAGCGAGCGAGTGCAAGAGCAAGAAAGGGAGATTGATAAATGTATTTTTCCATTAACATTACCTATACAACGCCATAAAACTCAGATTAGCCACAGGCAAAGACCAGCCAACAGGCCTGAAAAACAACCATTCTCAATATGCCACTGCAACATTACCTCCAAAACATGTGTTTTTATATCATGAAATGTTCTGCTTCAATCCATATTTGTTGGCATTTAGCCTTTGAAAAACAAAATTTTTGGCATTTTAGGCATGAGAAGCGCCATAGCCAAACGTGTGATAAAAGTCGGCGTTAGGCGTAAAAGCAACAGATTCCCTCATTTGGCAGCATCAGCATGAGAATAGTTATAGTTATAGCAATAACAACAATATACAACAAGTGTGGGGGAACAAAATGCAACCAGTTCAACAAGATGCAACACTGTATCAAAATTAGCAACACAACTTCAGTTACACACACCAATGACGTTCACTTGAAGACAAAATCCAACCTGTCCCTTTTGGATGAATTTCTCGATTAGCCGGGTCATAAAGCTGATCCAAAAGAACTCGCTTTTATGGATGCTGCATCGTCGGTATTGTCCTTTTGTGTTCCTCGCATATGATTTCATCAATTCGAGGGCAGTAAATGTCAGGAAGCGTTAAAATCATAGGAGTGCATGGTGCTGATTCATGTTGTCCCACAGTCCTTTATGTTGGAAAGGTTAGATGGGTCTTTCCCTGAACATCTGCCATGGAACACATCACAGACAGTTCTTTTTTCAGCTGTGCAAAGTCAAAGTGCGACGGTAGTTTCAGGGAATGCAGTCTTTAAGGTGGTGAACTGTTGGAGTTCCAGAAGATAACGGAATGAAATATATATATTTTTGTGATCTTAAAACCGACTTTTGCACTTGATTTAAAATACTGTCAAAAATGTCACCCTCAATGTCATTCTCGCTCACACTACAAGAAGCTACATTCTTGGAGCGTGAGCGAGAATCTCCGTCCAGTCTCGAAAACATTTTTTTCACATTTGTTTTTGTGGAATGTTTGAAACACCGGTGTTCTGCACAGTCTTGTTATGTGTTTTCATCAAATGCTTTAGAGCAGTGGTTCTCAACTGGTCTGGCTGCGGGACCCACCATCACCCCTTAATGACAAGCCGCGACCCAAATTTTCAACTTCTCAAATGTATTTAATTTAATTGTGTGGTGCAGTTTCAACCTGAGCTGAAAATGTCCTCTGTAGTTGTAGTAGGGAGCTAGTATTAGGGAGCTCTCTTGTGCAGAGAAATTGTTCCTGTCAGTCCCCGTCCCACACATGTTTCACGTAAACAAGTAAAACCGCTTTGTTTGTTATGTCTGTAGATTTGTCCATTTGTAATGCAAAATGGCCACTTGCCTTAGTGGAGTAGAGCTGTGGTCTGTTGTTTGATGTCATCCGACATGTCTTCAATTCCTCTACTTATAGTGTCATTTGACAGAGGGTTAGTTTTCAGTTTATCCCCTGATGATATTAGCATTACAAGGCATTAACGGCAAATATTGTTCAGGAGTGTGAATAGACGGCACTCCGCTGCATAAAAAATCCCCTTCAAAATAAAAGCAGAGGAATTATTTAATTTTTTTTCAGGCAAAGCCTGACACATGGAAACATTAATGAGGTTTTCACATTTTGCCATCATTCATCTTAAAATATAAACTAAACTTTTAAAGAGATTTCAGTTGGGCCACTGTAGTACACCTGCTTGTAAAATCATTCTGTAAATCTTTGTCCTTCTTGCCTTGTTCGGTCAGGTCCGGAGGGTGATGCTTAAAACGGTGTCGTTCTGTTGAAGGTTCTGGACGCCAGCGAGCCGACCTTGGATCTGATTTACAGCATAAGAGCCGCATTCATTTTCTTCCCGCTTGTAATCATTTTCCTCCTCGCTCGCTGTCACCGCGGGACCAAGGTTACGCTCAGAGTGAGTTAGATGCGAAGGAGGGCAGAATTTTGAAGGAAAACAACTCCAATGGACAAGTTTCCTGCTGTGGTCGTGTAGAATGAGAGTTCACGATCAAGAGAGTGGTGAGATTTTGGTTTTGCTCTGAATGTGGTGCAGCCAGTTGATGGAGGGTCCATTTGATGGTCAGTCTTTCCTCTGACAAATGAGTTTGGCCAGAATACAATTAAAAAGAATATGTTCCAAATGATCTCGGTGACCCCCTGACCTGTAATCTAGCACCACCATCAGGCCCACATTTCCACTGGACTCTAAAGGTCAGATTTCCATGAAGTTGAATTATTCTCTTTGTTATGAAACTTCACACTACAAGACAAAACTGAATTAATGACATAAATGTAATGGATAACACTAGTCTCAAACTGGGCTAATGTGTGAATGAAATGATCAAGAAGCTATCGTTTAGCTGCCTAGAGCACAATCACTACTGTCTACTCTTTCCTACATCCCTCGTTTTGCGACCGTCCCCAATTCTAAGCTCTTCTGCAATCACCTGCCACAATCGATCTTGAAATTCTTCATAGCTGTATCCTTTCATTTCTTTATCATAAAGTAGTTTGTGCTGGCAGACAAAGCGAGTCAGATGCTATTTTGAATGATGACATTTGCATCCACGGTGGCTCTGAGTGGTGAAAAAACACAGAATATCAAACCAGTTCCGAAAACTTTAATGACGGACAAAAGTTTCACAGATGATGTGTGAACGTGATAACCACAATGTGTGGTCGTATTTATTCATTTAACGTGCGACGCTGCACTTGGGCACAGTGGTGCATTGAGATAAATGCTAACGCCAGCATGCTAGCATGCTCACAATGACAATGCTGACATGTTGATGTTTAGCAGGAATACTGTTTACCATGTACAGCATCTTTGTTTAGCACGTTAGCATCTGCACTAAACACAAAGTACCGCTGAGGCTAACAGGAATGTCTTTTTACAGGGAATTAAACTAGTAGAAGAACTAATTAAATAAACAAAAGTATTGGTGAAATTAACATTCAGATTTAATGATGGGGCTTCATGAAAGGTTTGCAAATTATTACAGTTAAAATGAAATCTAAACCAAACTTCATGGTAATTCATAAAATAGTTGTCCAGATATTTTCCTCAAAAATAAAAACATCAACTTCATAGCGGTGCTAGAGGAAAGGTCAGGGTATCAACAAAGTCAACAGGATTCAGCCTCTTGGAACCATGAATGTCTAAACCAAATTTCATGGCCATTCATCGAGTCGTTGACATATTTCCATCTTGACCACAGTGGTGGACCAACTGACAGAACAACATTGCCATCCACAATGCTAGCATAGCTTTAAAATACCAAACATTTAACAAGGGTTTGTAAGTTAAAGCTTTAAACCACATTTGTTGAACTGATTGTGGAGCTAGATAAAAAGTCAGAGGATCTCAAAAGTCATCAGGATTCATTCTCTGGGAACCACGAATGTCTGTACCAATTTTGTTTGTGCCAATCAATTTTGTTAATGTCGAGATATTCCAGACCTACTGTTGCAAAACCTTCTTCGGGAATTTTTTGCACATTCATACACCACCATTCAAATAGTTTTTGCAGTATAACTTAGCCCTCTAATGGTCGAGATAAACAAATGTGCGACTATGAAAATATGATATGTTTTATAAAGTTACTGTGACTGAAAATCTGCTGTTGCTATTTCACCATCACATCGTATTCACTCATCCAGTGACCAGAAATGTGTTCTACTAAGCTTGATTTTCGAAATAATTGCATTTTTATTTTGGTAGTACTTTGTAATTGCAACAAAAAAGGGCCAAAAACTCAAATGACCACCAGTCGAGCTGTTATATTACAATAAGTGTTTAGTTGTTACAATAATATAATATCAAGTAAGTATTTGAAACACACTTTCCCACTGCATGCTAGGTCTTCATACAGCCTACTATAAAGTCTTTTAGGTTTTCCTCTGTCCATAAATGTCATTTTAAAGTCACTGGTGATGATGAAGATAAAAGAGTTTATTTTTTTTGTTTTTGTGTTACATTCCTCCTGCAGCGAGAGGCCGCCTCGCAAACCTGACCTGAGGTGAATAGAGTGCTGACTTTTGAATTCAAAAGACAAGGATATACTCTCTTTCCTTTTCCTTAATTTTAATATTCATATTTTTTCATGGCAGCTTGATCTATCTATCTATCTATCTATCTATTGATCTATCGCCTGTCTATCAACCTGTCTATCTATCTATTCATCAGTGATCTGATACTGCAGCAACGACTCTATGACCCTGAATTTACCCTGAAGCCTTTTGGATGGTGTGGTGTTGGTTTTGAAACAGCATGATATAAAGAATTAAGAGGAATACTAAGAGTTAAAAATAAAAAATAAAATATGTGATATACATATATGATGATTGCATTAGATTATTCCAGTAGATTGCAGTAGTAAATACGTTTTTATTGATCTTTGACACAAGTTTATTTTTTATTCAAGGTTCTATTCCTTGATACTAACATGAATCATCTGTATATTTGGGGATTAGTAACGAAGTCCCCAAAGGCCTCCAAAATTTTGTTTATAAATCTTAATCTTGGTTATTATCTTCTGCATGCAAGATAATAACGTGTACATATAAAGGCTAATAATAAATATGTAGCATATTTTAAAATCCGAAATATATTGAAACAACACGTTCTTACTCCCAACTCGTAAAAATGGCAGCTTGGTTAACAAGTGTTTAATTACACTGATGCACCGTTTAGCATCTGTATGAGATGCACTCAGCTTTTAAACAAACTCCAATGTAAACCCATTGCAAAATACGTTTTTTGGTGACAAACCTGAAAAATACAGTTGTTTGAAAGAGATGTTTTCACAGTAACGTGAAATTATTGGATGGTCAGAGCAACTGACGTATAAAGAGTGGAAAATTCTGCGTGTAGGTCGGACACGTCAAACAAACACAGGACTTTCACCCAGGAGACAGCTGTTCATGTTCCGTGTGAAACCAAGTCAAGGTGGACTTCTCTGACCGTACGTTTATAAAGTAACTTGTGTACTTAAAGCCCAAGCAAGTGCTTTTGTTTCCATAGCCTAACCAAGTAGTTTTTTTGCATAGGTAAAGTTAAATACTAAGTAAACCCACATTGGAAGTTTATTTTTGAAACAACACTATGCATGTCCCGAGTGGAAACTGACACTCCGTCCCTGACGCGTCCAAAACTGACGCTAGAGGGGTAACTAGAGCGTCATAGTTGGAAGTGGAGAGCCACTGACGTTGTGTCGGTGTTTGATGAGTTGGGAGTGAGAACGTGTTGATTGAAATGTCCTGCATTAATACAAAAATCCAGTTCCAAGTCTTGATACAAAGAGAGATCTTTCCCAACTGCAATGTGCTCAACTTTAGTATTCCCACTGTAGTCTTCTGGCAAATTCAAGTTGGTAGCTACAGTACATTATGCTGGTCCGGATTCAACGCTGCACCTCTCTGGCTTAGCCCCACTGGCTTCAAAGATGGCGAACAGTGCAATAGCAAAAATTATCTGCTGGAGGTCTGACTGCCATCAGATCCAGGTCAAACAGTATTTACACATACTTTCTAAGGTTTGTCTTAGACTGGTTGGGCATCACAGAGGTGGGGTTTAGCATGCAGGACAGTATAAATCACAGAATGTTTGAATGAGCCTCCTCAGTGATCAAACCTCTGATGCTGTCTGAACTGTCCTGATTGAGTAAATTCCACCAACTTCACTCTTCATGCGAGATTAACCAAGCTGACTCGCAAATACTATTTGACCAGCTGTGTCTGCCATAGCTAAGTCTTGTCCTGAAACCTTGACATTTTGATGTTAATCTAAGGCAGAATATTGGTATTAAAAAGGCAAGATCTCTGTTTAAACCCACTTTGCATTGTGGGAACTCCTCTTTGTCCGTCTTTTCCAATTACCTCAACTATGATCTCTTCCATTAACACCTCTACAAAGCATGGCTCCAGTTGACTGTTTTAAATTATTATAGCAAAAAAACATGGCCCGCCATACGCTGCAACTGATTGGCTAGTACTCGCTCTCTTTGTTGGTTGGGTTAGTTAGGATTTAGCATGAAGAATGAGACTGGTTAGGGTCAGAATATCAGGGCAAGCCAATCTGAGGCAGAGTAGGACAGGCCATACTTTTGCTATGGTAGGATTCGAAAAATCGCATCCATGACGTTACGCATGGTATGACGATCCTCTAACTATATAACCAGCTAGCCAACGTTTGCTGCACAATTGACCTGCTGATGTTGGGTCTTTCTGATATCTCGGTTTGTTAGCTAACAAGCTAGTCACCAATCCATCCGGTTGTTGGCTGGGTTTTGGTTTTGCTAGAGTTGAGACAGACCTCAAACTTGGTGACTTCACCATGAGGACAGTCATTGTACCCAACAGTTGTTGGTGAGCAAATAACTAACTGCTGCTAAAACCACAAGGTTTAATTTTCAACATAATAGTTCTACGCCGGCTCAATAAACAAGATGCAAGTAAATCATACAGCTTTTGCAGTTGTTGAAAGGTGGATCAGTTTTCCTCTGCTTCCACTCTTTGTGCTAAGCTAGGCTAAACACATCCCGGACCTTTCTTTGTAGCGATGAAACCAATGTCCACTTTCTCATTTGACTTTGGGTAAGACGGAGAATGTTGTGTTTAGAGGAATGCTACCAGTAAACAGCAGCATAGACAATAAAGAGTCAAATGCATTCAAAATGTCAAGGTTTCCATGCAAAAATCTGACATATTTAAATAAGGTTGCAAAGTTAATTAATACACTGGTAATCTGGTTAAGTCTCGGTTTTTATATTTTCACTTATAGCATTTGAAGAGTTAAGGCTTCTTGCACTGCAAAAAAAAAACAGTGTTCATCTTATCAAGTAGGTCGACCTCATGTTCAGTCTTTAAATGAGATTAAATTTACCAACAAGGTGACGTCATTGGATTTCTCATGGAGTTCAAATGTCTTAAAATGCAGTAAACAGGGTAGCATTTCAAGATGCGGGCGGTTGTTTTAAAACTATCTCGAAAATGAAGGAAAATTAAACCAAATTTGGTTGTTGGGGATATGTTTCACTCTACATACAGAGTCTCAAAGGAACTATGACAACTTGCTAAGATGGACAGAATTCCTGCAACAGTTTTTGCCATATTGCTTACCTTCCCACAGTACGCTGGGTTGATTTGATTCTAGACAAGAGGCTGCGTTTACACTGAGCTGATAGTGTAAATCAAAGTGTCTGAATCTATTTTTCACTGCAGCTGGTTTCCTAAAGAAACAAAACACAATAGCATCATTGCTGCTGCTTGGATGCAAAAAAGGTTACAATCTTATCTCAGATTTGGAGTAAATTTGCTAAAGATTTATATATTATGTTTGCACACAACTCCAAATAATTACAATAAGATTTCTAGGGTATTGGGTTGTTTATAACTTGACTGTTTGTATTTCTTGGCCTGTCAGACAAATTACTTTTAATGCATTGGAATGCAGGTAAATGAGGATATTTTTTGCATTACGTACACACCTTGTTTTAAAAGAGCTATAATGCTCCTGAAAACATTCTAAAGTGCAAGTGGATGAAGCCGACCTCCTCTGAACACCTCAAGACTGGGTTAACCTCTGTGTCTCCCCTTCCTCTTCCTCTTCCTCTTCCTCGTCTGTGTAGCTCCCAGCTGGCGTTGAAGTATCTGGATCCAGCTTTCAGTCCTCTGACCAACGCTCTCAGCGAGGACATGCAGAACTCCTCAAAATGGACCTACAACAGTTCTGCTTTTCTACAGCTGAAGTAGGTTACTCTGTCTGTGGTGGGATTTTGGCTGTTCTGAAGGTCAGCATGCTCACAGCAGTGAGCACTAGTGGTGAAAATATTATTCAATTAGAGAATAATATATTTTGTGTGAACATATTGTAAAAAATGTCTTTATTTTATACAATAAGCATGAAAGTTTAATTTGGAAAGTCAAACCACTGAAACTGAGACATGATCAGCAGATTGTTTCCCAAACAGCTGTAGTGACTATAAGCACTGGTTTTAAAGTAGTTGGAAACAAGTCCAAGTCAAGTCTCAAGTCAGAGACAAGTACATGTCAAGTCTTTAATCTTGACGAAGTCTTAACTCAAGTATACAGTTCTTGAGGGCTGGTCCAAGTCAAGTCTCAAGTCAGCTGACACAAGTCAAGTCTCAAGTCAGCTGACACAAGTCTAAGTCAAGTCTCAAGCCAGTCAAGACATGTAAATGTCAAGTATTCAGTCTTGATAAACCCAGTCATAACTCAAGTCGCCATTGTTTAGGGCTGGTCCAAGTCAAGTCTCAAGTTAGCTGGGACCAGTCCAAGTATTGTTTCAAGTCAGCTGAGACATGTCCAAGTTAATTCTCAAGTCAAGTTGAGACAAGTCCAAGTCAAGTCTAAAGTCAGTCGAGACAAATATATGTCAAGAATTGAGTCTTATCAAAGCTAGAGTGAGTGTTAAGTCCTTAAGGGCAAGTCCTAGCCAAGTTTTTAGTCAAGCCTTTTGTCATGTCCAAGCAAGTCTCAAATCAAGTCTCAGGTCCGCTGTCTTATGTATTTGTTCATTGTTGCGGCTTGGATGTTTTTGCTTACAAGTTTTAAGTTAAATCAAATCTGAGTCAAGTGGAAGTCCTGGTAGAAGAAGAAATAGATTTTGTGCAACCAGGGAGCTGAGATCACGTTCAGATAAACTGATCATCAGATGAGAGAGAGCATTAAAATGCTCACTTTGATGTATTTTAATATCACAAAATGGGGTTTTATCAGGTTTGTATGGGCCAAAGGGTGAAGAACAATATCAGCAACAATACAAGAGAACAACTGCATCGACATCAACAGTCTGCTTAATCTGCACATTAATCACGTTTAATGCAGATTTAATTGCACAAATGGCATTAACTGGTTTTACTGTGTTTATAGTTCATGAGGTCTGTTCATCACTGGGTTTAAACCCCCCATAGGCTTTTTTTCCTTTAATCTACTGTTTGTCATTATTATGTTTACATTTTATCTTGGTTGCTGTGCCAAATGTCTCGTCTAAAGGTGTGGCTGTACCATACAATGAGCAGAGCTGTAAATTAAGCTTAAATTCATTGATAAGCAACATTAAAGAGCAGTCATACTTTTAAAAAAGTAAATATTTCTAAATCTATTTTTTGTGGCTCAGTAGTTCTTTCTGCCATTCTGAAAGATTGTGTTTAATGTTAAAGGGTCACGCATTTCGTACGCATTTCGTGCATACTGTATAATTCAGATGCAGATATCACAAATTGGAAAATCTACAAACATTGTACTAAAAGTTATTGGTTTATGTTTATTTTTGTGTAATTCTGGTGAACTGTGCCTTTAACTTTGATATCTATTCATTTAAAAACAGTTTTTGTTTTTTAAAACTAGCAGGAGGTGGACATATTAACAGCAACACCTGTAGTATACCAGTGGTGTTCATACATTGCATTGCTTTATGTTCAGGAGGAGGGTTCATATTTTGTCCACCTGGAACAACCTACTGTCCAATCCAACAGCATTATACTGTGTAGGTATTGCTATTATTGTGTCCACAAAAATGTCTTGCAGAAACGAGATCGCTCAATACATCGACATCCCCCACAACTTCACACTGATAAGAGACTCAGTCCGAATCGGACAGCTGATGCACTACGACTACTCCAGCCACAAGTACGTCTTCTCCATCGGTGAGAACTTCCGCTCGCTCCTCCCCGAGGTCTCGCCGATCCTCAACAAGCACTACAAGGTCTGCGCCGTGGTCGGCAACAGCGGCATCCTCACCGGCTCACGCTGCGGCACCCAGATCGAGAAGTTTGACTTTGTCTTCCGATGCAACTTTGCGCCGACCGAGATCTTTAAGAAGGACGTCGGGCGGCGGACCAACATGACGACCTTTAACCCCAGTATCCTGGAGAAATACTACAACAATTTACTGACTGTGCAGGACAGGAACAACTTCTTCCTGAGCCTGAAGAAGCTTGACGGCGTCATACTGTGGATCCCGGCGTTTTTCTTCCACACATCGGCAACGGTGACGAGGACGCTGGTCGACTTCTTCGTGGAACATCGAGGTCAGCTGAAAATCCAGCTGGCCTGGCCCGGAAACATCATGCAATATGTCAACAGGTAAGACACCCAGTAAGACTGCGGTACATTAACAACAAAGCGCCCTCTATTAATATTATATAATGACATCTTAACATGAGCCTTTGCATTTACACCATGATAAGCGGAGAATCCGAATGAACTTACACTAGGCTACGTCATTTATTAAGATGGCGGATGTTATTGACATGGGTCTGCCATGTGCCGCCTTAACAAATTGAGGAATGGCATTAGTCCAGTGTACCCTATGCTATAGTAGTGCATTTCTTGGGGACTATTTTCAACCGTGGATTAATACACATTTGGTGCTGACTGTTAACAGCAGCAGGATGGTGTATTGAGTCAAAATAAACTAAAGTGTGTTCATTGTAATGAAGGACCATGCCACCCAGTGCAACAGTGTGACTCATTGTCATGTTTTTAATAGTTTAATGCAATAGGATTTTTTGATGATAAAAGAAAATGTGGATTTCCAAACCTAATCCAGCTTCACAAAAATCCACTTTAATTAGTACTTGGTGGTTTTTGCCAAATGTGTTTTGGAGGGAAATGCAAAGTTGCTGTTTGGATTATGTTAAGAGATGCATCCATTGCAATTTTCTTGGCCGATTTTCATTCTGAGAATTATAATTGTCAGCAAGGCTCCAGACTAACTTTTTTCACTCGTCTGGAAAATAATGTCAAGTCTGTGTAAACTGATTACATTTGAACACATCATGATAGCATTATAATTTACCTCCCCCAATACTCATTTATACAACTTGAACTCATCATAATGCAAGCTAAGTCGACCTCCGTTAACGTTAGCCGTTAGCTCCGTTATAAGCAGGACTGTGCTATGGAGAGACTCCATGCAGACGAGCTGGTCACTGTGATGACTCTGACCAGTACGATGGGAATGAATTACAATACAACAACTGCCTGATTAAGTTAGTCACTCCAAATGTTTTCAAGGTTGTTCCTCCGCCGCTTAATTTGGTGCTGCTGTGGGCCGACGTAAAACTATCATGCAGCACACGTGTAAATGTAACCTGCAAAAAGAAAATGAAATGTGAGAGTAACCAACCGGTCACTTTTGTAGTGATCAACTGAAAACGTCCGGTTTCGATAGTCTGATGATCGATCGGTGCAATTCTAACTATGTTCACTGCACCTCTCAGTCATTTTTCTGCTTGTCTTGCACACAATTAGACACATTTACACCTGGTAAAGATGGTCAATGCTGTGTCCTATAAAAGGTAGCACATATGTTACACATTTGTTTCTCGGTAAAAACCTGTGTCCACCGGTCTCTCTCTCGCTCTATTTTATGTCTGTTTTATGTCCCTATGTATCTCTGTCCTGTTTGTAGTAGTTAGTGTGGTTGCATTGTATTGAGCTGTACTCTTATATGGCAAAGAGGAGATTTAGGCTCCAAAGCCAGATTATAAGGAAACAGCTATTTAGTGAAAGGTATGGCACAGAGCTGGGACTGTGTGTGTCTGGAGAGGGATTTAAGTCCGGTGCTTAGTGTTGTTGCAGCAGATTAGGCCGCTCGTACAGTAGCGGCCTAATCTTCACCAATCCCATTAAACCTACCTGCTCTGGAAGAATTACCGCGTTCAAGCAGCTCAGTCGGCTTTCAGCACCTCAAGGACTCTTGGGAGGTGGTTTTGTTGAGGCGGTTTGGAGAGTTCCCCCTCTGTGTTTCTACGGAGCAGGACTGCCTGATAAAAAACATCAGCAGTAGTCATATTAGGTTTTTGTTTTTTTCTCAGATTCTGAAATCATTGCTGTCAACAGTTTATTATCAGATTTTTGGTGACTGACAGTAACAATTCACCTTACTTAAAAACCTAAGGGGAAAGTACATGGGCTAAACCTAAGGAAACGGGGGGATCTTATACCTGGTGTGGACAATAGACTGTCTATAAGAAGTGGACGTAGTCATCGTGACGTCACGATTGGTTTGTGGACTGCTGTTACGAGGCTCGAGTTTGGCGATTTCGCCGTTGCCATCTTGGATTACCGCCGTCACCATGTTGTTTTTTTTGGTACCGATGAATAGAAGTGACCATATTTGGAATGCAGAGGAGTGACATAGTGACGCCGGTCGCCCCAATGCAAGTTTTGAGACACTTCTGTATTAGCTTTACTCGGCAGAACCCGAGGTTGGCGCCTGGTGTGGACAGACGCTGCAAACCGCAAATGTCTGAAAGCTACGAAAATATGCAGAAAGGCTTTGTGTATTCCACCATATATAGTTATGTAAATCAAATGAATCAAGGCCAGATATAATATTAATAACAGGTGGAAGCGTGGTGCACTACCCACGTTCAAAGATTGTTGATGATTGTTGACTGATTTGGTGTGAATGCAATGAAACACTCCACGTTGAAATATCTAAGGTTCCGTTAATGTATAATTGTTCTCCTCACTTGTGCTCAACAGCTACTGGAAAACCAAGCAGCTGTCGCCGAAGCGCCTGAGCACCGGCATCCTGATGTACACGCTGGCGTCGACCATGTGCGACCAGATCCACCTGTACGGCTTCTGGCCCTTCGGCTGGGACCCCAACACGGGGAAGGAGCTGCCGTACCACTACTACGACAAGAAGGGCACCAAGTTCACCACCAAATGGCAGGAGTCCCACCAGCTGCCCGCCGAGTTCAAACTGCTCTACAAGATGCACACGGAGGGACTGCTGAAGCTCTCCCTCTCCCACTGTGCTTAGGGCTACAAACTGCAGCAGGTGCGGCGCTCCTTCCGGACTCCTCTCCAGCGCTTCCACGGGCCAGAATTGTCAAAATGATGAGGCAGACGAGGGAAGACTTCATTATAATTTGTGGTTGGTGCAATGGGTTAAACTCTTTTCAGCCCCAAAGCCACATTTGACGAAACAGTGCAAGTAACAAGGAGTCTATTCTTTTTATACTGCTCAAGAATCTAAAGACGAAGAAGAATACAGTTTTGGAAAATGTGGCTGCGGATGGACTTTCGAGTGATGTTGCTTTTATGGCAGAATATCACAACCTTGAATTGCTTCATGGTGTTTTTAGTCGCTCGTCACTCTTAGGACTGCAACTACAAATCAGACTGAGGTGAGCGCTGCGTCAGAGAAGGTAGATCCCTCCTCCAGTTCTATGAGGTTGACACAGTTTGGGTCCTGATGCAATGGGGCCCTGAAAACTGAAAAGCAATTTTTGTTGAAATTGAACATGCCCGATCCGATGTCTGAAAGCGCACATTGCTCGTAGATTCAAATGCAGAGATTGTCACCCTGACAACTATCCATAGTTTGTAAAATCCTCTCTCATATTGTTATAAAATGCTGTGCAGTGTTTTGGCATCTGATAACCCTTCAACCATATGAATCAGTTACTCAAAGTGGACTTTCTGAATCATATTTCATTGTATCACTAGTACCTGAAGCGACCACCAACACAGACCACCAACACAGAAGGTGTGTCACCTTCGCTGTTGGATGTTGAAACATTTGGAACAGTACAAAAGAGAACAGGGCAGTAGTTGTGTTTGCTCAATTGCTCCATTCAATTTAGGCATGTGGTAGAACTTTGAGTCAATAACTTACAATGAGTGTAAAATTTAAACACAATAACCATCGATAAGTCACATGCATAAACATCTATAAAAATATTTGATTCGTCGTACAGATATCAGTCGGTTGATTGTTAAAGCTGCAGGTGAAACTTTTAATATATACCTTATAAAGTTGTTACAGCTCAAGTGTAAACAAGCTTCCTATGTAAACATCCAGCAGACACAGAGGCACATTAACATCATTTGAGTTGTTTTTGAGTCCATCTGATGAATGTAAGTCCAGTATTTTCTCTCTTTTAGCTCTATTTTTGGTCTCCACCATCTCCTGGGAGAAATATCTCTTTAGCTGCTTAATTCTCCACTTTCTTCACCAGCAAGTCATTAACTGTTTGCCAATTAAAGCTAAGAGAAGTCTGAGGTTTCAGTAGAACCTCTTCTATGGCACTGCACAAGAGTAAATTAATGTGTAAACTATCAGAGCCAAGGCTATTTAACGTCTGGTAACATTTTACACTTTACCACAGCAACATCGAGCACAACCATAATCTGTATAAAGACTGAGTCCGCTTGTGTGTCCATGAAACATCTTTAACAGACGAGAAGAAGCACAGACAGGACCATACATGTCAAAATTGCGGATAAAGGTATAGGGCTGTTTGCTGACTTCGTAAACTGTATAAACGGTGACATTACCATGGCGACAAATCTGAAAAGTCACTGTTGGGAAAAAAGCAGAGGCACCACGAACAAACATCCATCTGCAATGCAGTTTAGGATAAGGCTCTGTGGGTTGCGTTCAAATATATTTGAGTAAATGTTAAATAAATGATTTTATTTTAAAAGTGACAGCCTTACTTTGTAAAGATTAGCTAGCTGGTTGTGTAGCCAGCACTATGCAACTTATCAGGAAGATTCACTTTCAGCCAGTATGCTGCCATTACTTTCTTCTGCGTTGTGGTAATGTCTTAGATTTCTTTCCCCATGTTGTGTGTCTTGAAAATGGGGTTATATGGGTTACTCTGTGATTTATAACCTAGCCACCTACCAAATACACCCACCTCTTCAACGGCCACTACACCACTCCCCATAGTAATGAACTTTCACCATTCACACAAAGTTATTTTACTTTTTACATTTGCTACTGTTAGAAGGCATTGGTGAGGGACTCTACAGAGTATGAGAGGATTTGAACCGATCCATTAGCTTTCATAGTAAGTGGAAAAGATACCAGAGGACACAAATACTATAGTCCATCTCTTGAGAATCTGTTTGGGTTGATGACAAACATCTTATTGTGTACTTGTTGTTTTGAAATTGTTAAACTGTAAATCCTTAAATTGCTCTATGATTATATAATCAACTAAAAGGGCCAAGGAGAAAGAGTGCAGATTATGAATCTACAAGTAGGCAGAAACAGGAACTCTGGTCTCCTGGAAAAATGTTGGATGCGCTACTCCCCATCCAGCACCTCGTGCTCCACACTCTTATGCTATGTTCACATTACGAGGGACAAACCAACCAAATGGCCAAGTGTGGCCAAATACATCGTCGCCGTGGAGGGTACAGGAAGTGTGGGGTGAGAAGGGGGGGTGGGGGCATGAAAAGGTTTTCCTGAAGGGATTTATGCCAGAGAAGGTTTATTTTAACCCAAAAACATGTTTTCCCAAACCTAAGGACCTAAAGACCTAAGGAGATTTCTGTCAGGGAAGCAAATGTCGAAGCAAAGGGGACCAGAAAGTTAAAGCCAGCTCAACCTTGATTTATCGTGCGTGTGTCGGGCGTCAGTTAGTAGTTAATGTCACAGGCCTCCGTTGAAAATGACTTGTAGAGAGTTGCTTTGTCGCTCATAGTATGAACATAGCATTACTTTCCACTTTGCTACATAAAGGGCAAGATAGAGTACCTCCTGCCAGAGGAAGACTGATCATCGAGAAGTTTGGGAAAAGTTCCAAATTGCCGATCAATTCCAGGCCGAAACAGGCTGGTGGTCATAGAGGTTTTGTTGATCTGATATCAGTGCCTGTCACACTGGGCCAATCCAATACTTTCAATATTGAGGGGGAGCAGCCCCTTCCAATTTGGAGTGATTCTAGTTTTATGTCATTTGCATCACAAATCTGACCCGAAGGTCTCCAGCATCATCAGATTCTCTGAATACAGAAATAAGTGTATTGGTGTTAAAATGACTGAAAAAAAATGTTCCGCTCAAAAACAAAAATGTGAGCATTAGATGTTTACTGGTCGAGCAACGGATTACAGCAAGAAAGGATTTTAAACTTGAGTCCTAATTCTCACTTTGTTGGCCTGTTCATAGGATGTTAATATGTCCAACACAAGACAGCGTGAGACGAGGGACAGCCACATGTCCTCACAGCCATGAATTCCAATTTGTACATAATACTACAAATGTTTTGTATCATAACATACAGCAGCCCTTTTATTCAGGGAAGTAGTGAGTACAGTACTGAGATTGTCATCAAACAAAACCTTATTTTGAGATTGGTCGTAATTCTGGCTGAAGGTTAAGGTTTCGGGAAATTTTTCTTTCACCCCGGTTGAGTCCACAATTGGGAAACGTTTGTGTGTTTTGTGGTATGAAGGTATGTATCAAGTATGTGATAAGTGGTTGATTAGAATTAATGATTTGAAATGCTCAATGATATTTGGTCCTGTGTTTTTTTTTTTTTACTGTACGTGGGAGCTGATACATGTTTCTGATACTACAAATGTACACTTTACACACACATTTTACATGCGACACTCATAGACACATGCTTTTTTTCAGGCGTATTAAATGTAAACTATCATATCTGACATGTGCTTTCTTTTGTCATGTATTTACATATTTGCTGCAGTGTGTTAACCCTTTTGTTGACAAAAACATGATAAACTGGGACTATTTTTGTAATCTGCAGCTGAACTTCAGCTGTTTCTGTTTTGTTTGTTGTTTTCTTAGTCTCCGAAATGAGACGTCTATGACTTGAAACGTGACATTTTCAGGACTTTGACAAAAAGATTATTGGCATAAAGGTTAAACTGACCATTTAATGATACTAGTGATGGTGTTATTTTTTGACTTGAGCACATTACTTACTTGACTTAAAGTTATTAAGATGTAGATTTTCTTTATTTTTGTCCTCTTTTGTCACCTTTTATTTTTGTAATATAAAATATCAGTCGGTATCAGGTAACATTTTTCCAGAATGTACTTTTTGCATTTTGAATGATATTAATGAGGCTGGCTCCATCTACATCGACATGTCTGTAGAGATTACTCTATGAAGGGTAATATATACTAAAACCACATTTAGATATCATACGCAATATGCTGTATAACAAATATTTTTTATTCATCCAATACTTGAAAGAATATATATATACTCTGTATTTATTTAATCATTTAGTCATTAAAATGAATGAAATGATCCATTTGACAAAGTGACTCCTGTCTTGTTTTGAGTGGGTGTTAACTGAAGCATGCTGTCCGTTGTTTAGGACAGTATTTGATCTGCTCATTACAGAATTAAGAGCATATCTATTGCCTCCAAGCTGCTCACAAAATCGGTGGCTTGAAGCTAACGGTGCTAACAGTGCAAACTACTTGAACAGTGCTGAAAGAGCTAACAGTGCTAACCTGAGGGTTAGCCACCGGTCGGGAGAGCGTCATCAGCAGTGAGTGCAGTGAAGAGTGGCGGCCAGGAGCTAACAAGTGGGGTACGCTCACATGCACTTACATGCACTAAAAAGCATGCACAGCATGCTTAAAAGCAAGGAGAAGCTCGGATAACAACACACAGGGAGGGAGACGTTACTCCACTATTTCTTTACAAAGACAATAGTTCTTTGATAATGCTCTGAATGTCAAATATTTTTGTATCTACTTTCTTGTGAAGGCTCAGCCGTTATGGACAGGCCATTGTTCCGATGGCCCTTTTTTTCCAAAACCCCAGTAGTCCAGAAAATGGCCCATTGGACCGAAAGCCCTTTTGTCCAACAGCCCGTTATCCTGAAAACCAACGGCCACTGTTCTGAGGGCCCATTGCTCCAAAAATACACATTGTAAATGTAGTCAATGTGAACAAGACTGGACCACAACTAAAAGGCAACAGTGTGTCAATGTTTCCCCTTTGTCTGGACCAAACCAAAGTGTGTGTGTGTGTGTGTGTGTGTGTGTGTGTGTGTGGGGGGGTGTTCATATATTTTGTGTACAGAGTCAAACAGTGCTCTGTCTTTTTAGTTTTTTTTCAACAACATTAAGGATAAGATTGTCGAACGACACACACACACACAATATTTAGAATGTGCGCACTTTACCAAAAAGTCAAAATTTCTGAAAATACACAAATGTCCTCACTTCATAAAAAAATGTCCTTGCTTAAAATTCAAACATCAAAGATAGAAGAACAGGAGTGGGTACACACTTTTTTCTGAAATGCAAACAGAGATGATGTAAGGCAGCAACAGCCTGCAGGTCGATACGCTGATGGTTTTTAGGGAGTGTGGTCAGAGGTCAGAGGTCAGGGAGCATCTTCTGAACAGCTTGGGGGTTCAGAGAGGACGAGTCAAAGGGAATTTTGTCAGAAATTATAATTTTTTTTTAAAACAGTATCTTTTATTTGTTTTATGAAGTAAATAAAAACATGTACGATCTTCACGATTTGAATAAATTCAAAGAATGCAAAATAAATAAAAGAAGTAGAATGCACTAAAAACCAAAAGTATCTCTAAATCTGTGATATGATGCTGCAGCGATTTATTTCAATAAAAGTAAATTACAGCATTTTAAATTGAAATAGAAAAATGACCTGTTAATAAATGTGTGTGTGTGTGTGTGTGTGTGTGTGTGTGTGTGTGTGTTTCTATAACTATC